GATCCCTAAGGCTCCATGTGCCCAGATAGCCGATACTTAAGCCTTAAAGTAGCTATATAGGGACCCCTTTAAGGCCTAAGTATCTACTATAAAGGTACATGGAGCCTTTGGGTGATCCGAAAGCAGAATTTCAGACACCGAGACCGCGATGCCTTGGGCGATAGCAGCGCTGGGGACTTGGGGAGGAAGGCTGACAACCTCAACTGCACTCACTCGATTTGGGAGTTTCAGAAAATTAGGGTACCGTATTTGGGGGTCCTTATAATAGGGATCCTATTAATAAGGTTACTATATTAGGGTCCCCTAATTTTCGGAAACCCCCATTTGGGACCGGCTGTGGTGCATGTGTGTGATGATTGATTGGGAGAGAGTCCGCGGGTGGATTGCGACGTGTTGCTCAGAGGCCCTAGCATGCGTCTGAAACTAAGCGGTCGGTGCAACAGTGCAACAGCACCACTAACAGCTTTTGATGACTCTGTCGTCGTTGTGTGTGAAGCGGCGCTTGGTGTGCAAAGAAGTCCAGTCAGAGTCTGGCATGTTGATGGCACGAGTTCAGCCGCAGCACGGGGCATAAGCTGGGTTTCTGCTTTGGGAACGAGGTTTGTGGGTTTGTGTGGCTTTCGAGATGGAGGTTCCAGGGATGCCAGTACCCTGCAATCAAGGAAGATACTTTCCAGCATCATATTCACGCATAATACGGCCCCAGAATTCAAGGCATATTCCTGCATTAAAAACCCACAGCCCTTATGAATCCCGATAAAAGACCCAGTTTGCATCAGATGTTTGGCTCTCTCCAATTTTTCTCGATAGCTTGCATCTGGCAGCTATGGGGTCTCAGGAAATCGAAATTAAACAACCACAAGGGCTTCCTAAACCCTAATAAGACCCTAAACCCGAACCCCCCCCCCCCTGCAGGTACCTACTGTATAGGGTACTAGAGCCTGCAAGGGGCCCTATATAGCAGGTACCTGGAGGACTAGGATAAACCCGAAACCCTCAAGCTCCTGCTGAAAGGGTCAAGAATTCAGAGGATCCCTTCCTCTTAGGGTTTAGGGTTTAGGGTTTGGGGTTTGCTTTGAGGCACTTCGGAGACTGGGGTTTTCAGGCTTGGTGCGGTTTTGGGCTTGGGGCTGCTGCGACCTGAAACTATGACCGCCATCTGACCAAGGACTTGGCCTTGGGCTTTGTGGGTTTAGGGTGTAGGGTTTAGAATGTAGGGTTTATAGGGTTTCTAGGGTTTAGGGATTCTACAAAGGGCTATCTCCGCAAGTTTGACAGCTACTAGGCTTTTGGGTACAGTGTGGCATGCAGCTGGAGTTGCAACCATGCTAGCAGCACGGTATCGGGTTTTGTGAAGCTACGTGGCAAGAGGCAAAGTC